GAGAGAGAGAGCCCTTACCGGATTTGCCTCTCTTCCTGGAGGACAGGAAAGATTCGCTATTCTAAACTCTTTCGCTGCCGATGCTACGAAGCGGTGAATTACGAAAATTGCTCGATTATTGGCCACATTGGGGTCTATGGGGGCACACGGGGTGCGGCGCGGAGGGATGATTTTCGATAACAAAAAGCTTGCGATTATGCACGCAATAATGAGAGCCGGCAGGTGTCTGCGGGGCATCGGGCGTCGCGCATTGTTGGCAGCACAATGAAAGCGCTGCCGGTTGTTTTGCTCGACGGCGTCCGTACGCCGGTTGCTGCTGCATAGATTGTCTCCCTGATGCGTGCCAGTCGATGAAGCACGCCATCGGCGATGCCAAACCCGTGTATGCAATATGTCGTCATGCGTGTTCTATTCCGCGACGGTCCGTGCCACGCGACACGCGTTCGTTCGCGTCTCTTTCGGGTTTCGAAAGGGCCAGTAGGTCGGCGACGCGACGTCCGATCCGATCTGCCTGGTCCGGTCTGCCTCGAACCGACAGCTTAAACGATGTAAACAAGTCCCTCGTTTAAACCGGGTTCCACCTACCACTTGTGGATTATGGGAAAAGACAAGACAATAATCGTAAAGACGTAAAAGCGATACGATACTCAATATTTGTCGGATGTAACATAAAGTTACTGGAATTATATATATTTACAAATTGTTTCTGACATTTTTCATATTTTAGAATTTAACTAACTTATTTATTATCAGATTATTTCGTTTTACAAGCTTTCTGTTTCTCAATACCTAAATGGTGATTCTTGACATTTTCATCTTTAGCTGCTGATAAAGAATATGATTTTTGAAAAATACATTCTTAAAAAGTCCTAAAAATACTTATTCTTATTAAGAAACAAAATGTTGATGAAAATTTGTTTCTCAGTCCTAGTAAACATCGATTAACAGTAACATAACATCAATGTTATAATTTCACACTCAATAATAGAACTGTATACGTATAGCGTGTATTATGTTAGATTTGCA